AGAAGGACTGTAATAGACTCCTACAATTATATCCCCTTCTCTGTGTTCCTCCCATATTTTAACCCAGAGGGTCTCATGACACCCTCTTTGGTTGCTAAACTCTGTTTGAAGGGAAATGTATGCTCCTTCATGTAGAGAGCTACCCCTCTTCCCAACACCATCTCTCCTGTACAAGATATAGCCCTCTATACCTGTGGACCAGTTGTATGTGGATTTCCATCAGGTCTCCGTTATCCTTACAAGATCATAATCTTTCTTGCTCGGGAGAAGGGCCAGTTCCTCTTGCTTCTTTCCCAAACTCCTGGTGTTTGTGTACAGGTAGGTGAGCCTACCATGGGACACCCTGGACTGCCTGTGCGCTGGGATGTGACCTTTCCTTGGGATGTCGTCAGAATAGGTTCCCTTGGGCTACCTAACCTGTTAGTACTATGGTTGTTATGACCTGGGCTTGAACTGTTAATTGACCATCGGTCTCCCAGCAGTCCTAGTTTAAAGCCTTGTGAAATAGGTCAGCCATTCTGGCCAAGAAGAGTTTCTTCCCTTTGAGGGTGAGGTGGAGGCTATCCCTTCCCAACAAGCTACTGGCTCTCTCCCTAAAGTGTGGACCGTGGTTGAAGAAGCTGAACCCCTCGCGATGGCACCATCGGCGGAGTCTTCTGTTAACCTCTTCAATGCACCTTTCTCTCTGATGCCCATGACCCGTAACTGGGAGGATCAAGGAAAAAGCTACCTGTGCCCCCCAGACCCTTGAGCCCAGCCTCCAGAGCACTGTAGTCACTCATGACCCAGCCGGGATTGTTCTGAGCTGTGTCATTCATGCCCACGTGGATGAATAGCATGGGGTGATGGCCGGCCGGATGAGTTTGGGGATCCTCTCAGTTACATCCTGGACATGAGCCTCTTGGAGGCAGCAGACCTCTTGGGCTAAAGGGTCAGAGCGACAGATTGCTCCCTCTGTCCCCCTCAAGAGGGAGTCACCCACCACAGTTACTCTGTGCCTTCTCCTGGGTGTGGTTACTGGTGGCACTCCATCCTCACATGCTGTAGCCAGCGGCTTGGCTGGCTCTAGCGAAGTAAGGGGTTTGAATCAGTTGCGCAGCTCCAGGGGAGTGGTAACCCTGGTGCAGTGCCTCCCTGGGCCAGAGACTACCTTCGTCTAGACAACCACTGACTGGACTTCATGGTGGCTCTTCATTTCTGCTCTAGTGTTCTCCACCCTCCTTACTCTTTCCACTTCTTTCTTCTGGTGGAGAGCCTGGTAGTAGGCGTCCAGTTCTTGTTCTTCTTCCCTAAGGTGTGCAACCTCTGCACTGCTGCCTAGAGCTCCCTAATTTAGCACTTGAGGGCCTCCACCGTTAAGCACACCCCACAAGAGAAGGTGTCAGTGCTCTTAAACCCAGCTGCCTGCATACGTGCTCAGCAGCCTCCACAGCCTGGGGCTCCGTCTGGGTGGAGGCTGGGGCCATCGGTTCTTCCTGGGCATGGGCAGGGACCGCAGGCTCCGTTTGGATAGAGGCCAGAACCATAGGCTCTGTCTGGCTGGAGACCTCAGTGGTACCAGAGCAGGGGGGTCGAGCCGCAGTGAATTTTGGGGTATGATGTGTCTCCCCCCCCCCACTATTGCACAGGTAGTAGACAGTGCTACTGCTGTGCTGACCCTTCTCTTGAGGCTTGCTGCCTAGAGCCTCATGCCCAATGCTAACTTGCGTGCCGGGCCTGGAGTGCACTTGTTTGCGCTCTCTGTTCACAAGGCTTCAGTCACATGGTCCCTAGGGAGCTGGGTCAGGTAGGAGTCGGGTGGAAGCATGACCATCCTCCGCTCCTTTCAGCTCCCTAGCACCGACCCGCCATAGGCCATACCTACATTCCAGCAGTGCTGGGAGTATGCATTGGTGTGTGTTGTGGGTCCTAGGAGTCCCGGGCTCAACAGGGGTGTGATGGGCTTCTGCCCATGCATTTTTCTCTGGAGCCGGGTACAAGCTATGGCTTCTGCCATTGGCGGGCCCTTTTAAACTCCTGCGCATCCACAGTAGGGCCTGCTGCTGACGCCGCGCCGCTCTCAGCAGCTGGGGGTCACTGTCCCTGTCCTGCTGGAGAAGGGGGCAGGTAAGTACCCACCCTTCTCCTAGTCCCTCACTATGGGTGGGGAGGACTGAGCAGGAGCCCCTACTTGGGGGTTGGGCCAAGTAGGAGCCTGGGGGGGGGGGGGGGGGGTTCTCTTAGCTGCCTAGCACCCACCCACCACGGGCCCCACCTCCCTCCCGGCAGCACTGGGGGTCTGGGTCTGGGTCTGCTAGTTGTGCGCTGGGGGTTCTAAGGGTTCCGGCCTCAACTGGAGCACGACGAACTTCTGCCCGTGTGTCTCTCTCCGGAGCTGGGTTCAAACTATGATCCTGAGATCAGGATCTTCCAGATCCTGAGCACTTTATATTGTGTAGATATGTTTAAGGTATCATGTTCCTTATTTTTCAATATGTACTTAAAAAGTAAAATAAGAATCAGACTGGAGCTCTATGAAATTGCTGCTGCAGGCCAAGCTCGCTTGCAATCCTAAAAATAACTTGAGATGCAGAAAATGTGGGGACCACATTTGGCCAAAGCTGTGATGATAGGATTTTATTTTACTGTCCTGAAGACTATAAATTTTTCAAATACTTTTTCTAAACCTCTTAACGTTCTACCATGAAAATGCTGTTAAATTACACCTTATTTAACAGAAACACTATGTTGTAGGCCATTACAAATCAACCATAGGTCTGTAAAGAATTAATCTTTCTCAAAGCGAGATCCCATGGATAATCATAATAGTTTAATAGTATTTTTTTCTTTTGCAGTTTGTTAGAGGAACTTGAAAGAATTAAAGTATAAACTATTAAGAAAATTGATTGGATAACAAAGAGTTGCCAATACCAATAATAAAAAATAAACAGGGAAATCTATTGTAAGAGTAAATGTGAAAAATAAATCACTTCAGTTGTTTACAGGGATATTTGAGAATCTTTTAAATTAAGCTGCCAAATGCAAGCCTGTGGTTCAAAAAGCATGGTAGTTGGGTAGTGATAAAGGAAACGACTAGAGAGATATGAAAGGAGATTAGAAACATAACCCACTGGAGCAGAATCCTTGCTTTGTAGCATGTAGATACAGTACAAATAGCTAGTAAGAATCTGAAACAAATTTCTCTAAGAGAAGGTTATTAAAATTATAAAGGCCAGTAAGATTACTTTGCATCTGATTCTTAATTTGGAAGTTATTCACTGTAATTGCACAAATAGAGAAGCTATGTCTGAAGGGCCATAAAAGTAAAATTCTAGCAATACAACTCTAAAGCATATAATTTCTGTAAAGAAGAATCCAAAAGGTCAATAGAAAAGCAATTACAGTAGTGTAGCAGAGAGAAACGAGTGAGTAGCTAAAATTTTAGCAATGGAAACAGTTACAAAAATCTTTGTAAAGATTTTTTTGATAGTTTTACTGTTTAATTTTTTCAAGTTTTCATTCATTTATCATTTTAGGATCAGCTAGTCTCAAATAATCTCCTTCTGTGTTGTACTGCGGCCAAAAGAGTGGTGTGTGGCCAGGGTGGTTAAATACTAATCAATAATAAACATATTTTAGAATTTAAGTTATTTTGTACAATTATGACAAATTCCACCAGAAAGTCTATGGTGAGCTCATGTACATACATTAATTGGTCACTTTCTGGTCTTGAGTTAATATATAGGTGTATAAATATTAATCGGTGTGAGAGCCAATTCAGTGTTACCCATGCAATTTTATGGAGTTGTTTTTTTTACTTTCTTTAACATAACCTGAGAAATGATAGACACATGGTGCATAAAATAGGAAAAAATGCAAAGATCCAAGGTCCACTTTAATTTAGGAGTCTGTTTATTACTAGCAAACTGCAGGTATAAAAATCTGACCAGCACCATACGTCCTTTATTAAAATAAACATGTATGTGAGAGAGGTGACTTCTGAATCCAAAATGTATCAATCCTAAAATGTATGCTTGCTCCTCTCAATAAACTTAAGTTTCATTAAATGAATGCAGTCCCAGAGCACCAGCCCCTTCCCAGCAGGGAAATGTCCACCTCACAGCGCAGACCCCTGCTAGGAAGAGGTTTGCACTTCCCAGACACCGTGACAGGGGCTACTGCCCCCATCAAAGATCCTGTTCCTTTACTGCTCTAGTAGCCGGCCGGGGGTGTGGCCAGAAGCCAACTGGCAGGGTCCCTTAGGTGGAGGGGCAGGGTGGGGGTTATTTCCCTCTCCCTCTGGCTTCCAGTGGAGGGGGCAGGAGAGGGCTTATTCCGCTGCTTGCCCCAAGCAGGGAATTGAGTAGGGCAGTGGGGGTAATAATCCCCCTCTCTGCCTCAGGGGGCCAAGCCAGCTGGCATTTGGCCACACCTGGCCCTACCACTGCAGCAGTGAGGCGGGAGTGCCTGGTGGATCCCAGCTTGGGTCCCTACTGGTGGGACAGGGAAAAGGGAATTAAATGCCCTCGCTGGCCAGTTCAGTCCAGGCTACTGCCCGGGCTGACATGCCCCCCACCCCCATCACAGCTTTCCTGCAGCTGAGGGCATGCTCTAGCAACCCCCAGCTCCTGGCTTGAGCAACTCTGCAGGAATGTGCCTGCATTTCCTCAGTCCAGAGGGAATGTCTGTACGGTTGCAAACTGATTCAATCTAGGCAGGTTAGACTAACCTGCAAAAGTTGAATCAATTCAGGGTTCAGCTTTTTGAATTTCTGTTCTTAGCCCTAGATGTTAAAAAAGTATATAAAAAGTAATTGCATCTGAAGAATACTAGAGCAAGAACTTTAACTATGTGGAGTTCATTTTTAACATTTTTATAGAACAGTTCATCATGTCTGGTTATGTTATGCTTGGAAACGAGTAGAATGTTAGGAGTATTTACGGTATTATTTGACTTTTGTTATTATAAAGCAATGGAAGAAACATTTCTGCATTCATTCCTTCTCTGTTTTTCTTTCACAGATAAGTGTACTTAGTGGAATTGCCGTTGCCAGTATGTATCATTCCATATCTGAAACCAGTCATCCCTTGCAGGCAGAGGAACAAGAAATAGGCATTGATCCCTTGCAGAGTTATTTAAATAAGCCTGATGAAGGTGAGTTTTGTACTTCTGTACTTTGTGCTTGGAAATCTTGCATAAGTGTCTCATGATAGCTATGCCTGTCATAATTTGTTTAATTCTCTCAATGAAGTTGAGCAGGGCAACTTAAAGAACATTTCACAAAGTGTGTGTACAGTACACTGACACTAATGAAAACCACGAAAAGTCGACTTTCAATTAGACTGAAACATTAGCCAAATGTTTAATGTGCTGTCATTCTTTTTTAATCATAAACCAAACAGTGACTTCTGCAAAGAATATTGAAATGAAACATGGCTTTTTGTTGCAACTGTTTCAAAGATAGGCTTTTTTGGCTGGTTTGCATTGCTTTAAGGTTTTGGGGTTTTTTTCCCTTCTTCCCTATGGTAATTTTTTTTTTTTTTAATGCCAGTAAAGACTTATTTCCCCCATTTCCTTTTCATTTTGAACAGTTAATATTACCATAAATAAGAACTTGAGACCTGAGATTGAATAGACAGGATTAAAAATGGAAATTACTCTGTAACCTAAGATCAATTAAAGGCAGTTTTCAAAGTACCTGTATGAACAGTGAGAACAAATTGCTTGCCTAATGCAAGTACTTGTCCGTGTTACTTGTCCTTTTTACTTATTTGCTAGTAGTGACAATATAGTTGGTTAGAAGGAAGTGATAAGCTTAACAAGATGCTTGAAACCTCATCCTTGTCATGAAAACATTTCTCAAGTACTCAGTTATATACAATGACACCTTAACTACCTGTAATTTTCCAGTCAATGAACCCATGTACCAGGAGTGCACAATAAAAAATTTATTTTAAATTACAGAGTTGAAACAACTTTGTCATGTTCCTGAGTGCCTCACCCAAATCAGCCATTCTCCGTTTGTGCATTTAGGTATAAGTCTTCTAGATAATAACGTATATTAAAAAGGGGAAAATGTAAATTTTTGCTTAAATCAAGTTTCAATCACTTTCATTTTATAAATAACTTAAATGTTGCCCTATAACACGTGCATGCAACTTCATTGTTCCATTTTCTCCTTGATTACATTGTGAAGCATTTTCAAGGTAAGAAAAACAGAACAGAGATCTTAAGGAAAGCATTTTTTTTTAAAACAGGTTGTAAATATTGTAATTTTTCTAGGTGAGTTTCTCTTCTTTTAGATTTGATCTCTGAAAGGTAAAGAGCTGTCTTAGTTTGATAAAGCAAATACATTTTCTGTATACATTTTCAGAAATTTGGGATAATGGTTTGTAAAAAATCTCAACAAAAATGCTTCCGCATTTAAATATTTGTGATTTACATTGGGTTGGTTTCTAGTGAACACTAATAAACAAGAAGCTTGCAATTTTGTAATTTTAAAAAAAAAAGATCTGTATATTTCTCTCAGCTCTGTTTCGAGACAAATCAAAATTTTTACCCTGTTACAAAAACACTTTTAATTAATTTTACCCTTTATTGTGCCCAGGAGTGATTAGTTACCTTGACTGAAAAGGCTTTTCATTTTTTATCCCATCCTTAACATTTCTATGACATACAAAGTTATTAGTATTGAATTGATGTTTAAAAGTGCCATTAATTCATTTACCCCAAATGTTCATTAACAATGTAAATGTATGCTGATGTTCTATGAGACAAGGAAGTGACTAATGACTCTTCGCACTAACAACACTTAAAATGAATAGAAACTTTAGATAGCTAATCTTGAAGTAATCAAGACCCTCATTCAGCTTGGCATCTCTGTATGCTCTAAAACAGCTGTCAACTGTTAAAAATATATACACAACACACACATACGCACATGCAAAGATAAAGATATGTAAATACATGGTTCCCCAAGTCATAAAGGTTACCAACTATGGTACATTTTTTACGTTCAATCTATGTAAATATTTTATATAAAGCATCTATTTCATCTTCATAGTGTTTTTTACTGTGAAACACATACTGCATTTTAATTTGGTACCATATGTATCCAGCATCAATCTTTGACGTTTTATTTAATTTTAAGTATTTTTAGGGGTGGGGGAGGTGTGATCTTGGATATCAAAGCATGCAGTTTTCCTTGCTCACCCAATCTCACTTGAAAGTTAATTTTAAGGAGGCAAGCATTGCTTCCAAAGTAAGCATTTGGACTCCTAGAATGTGTCAGATATTGAGTGGAGACTTCTCACAAAACATTACCGTTCATCCAGATTGCCATTTTTTCATTAAAATTTCTGTATTCCCCCCCTCAACCAGAAATGTTTTTACAGTAATATAGATGTGTGTCATATCTGTACAATATGTGAATGTATCATATGTACACTTGTTTCCAAAGGAAGAATTGAAAGTTTTGCTTAAAAATACCAGAGTACTTTTGGTGTGACACAAGCTTGACACTTTCCTGGATAGGGAGAAGGTGTTTTAATATAGTAGAAAAAATATAGCATCTCATGAATGGGAAGTGGCACCAGATGAATTCAGAAAAGGAATTAATCAAGAAATAGCGTTGTGAGGTTTAGTTATTCCAATGGTTAATTGTTCTCCCAAAAATATTTTGAAATTTCATCTTAGAAATCAACCAGAAATTATGGACTTGATACAGGATTCACTTTATGACACTTTATGGCTATTATTATATAAGGGACCAGACTAGATGACTGTAGTAGTACCTACAGTCCTGAAATCTATGAAACAAATAATTTTTCAATGAAAGTTTAAATTATCCTACAAATACATTCTGTCCTCAGGTGTAATTATCCACATGTCACTTTTTGAACCCATTTTTTATCACTGATTTATATGTTGTACTGCTAATAGATCCCAAAATGGAGAAATGATTTCTCCATTTGCTGTTTTACTGCTTTACTATACTACTGGTTATCAATATTATATTTAATAATAATGTATAGGCCCAATTATAACAGAAAATGAACCCAGGTATATGGTTTACTTAATACTATTTATAAGATTAATAACAAAAATATCACTAAAGAACTTTTTTAGGCATCTTGTTTGGGTATTACAGAAATTGACAAGAGGTGCAGCATAGCTTTAGAGATGCCCTGTACAATATTATAAAATATCAGGTGATCTGTGTTGTTCTTTAGAGCTGTGATACATGGTTAGAGTATTGTCTTAGAGGCTAAATGGTAGAAGTTCTCATAGAGCTGAGAAAAGACAAATAAGGCAGATCATTGGTAAATGTATTTTCACCGTTTATATCTCGTCAATTAAAAAAACCAAAGAAAAGAAACCAGGTTTGAGAAGATGCACGAAATATTAAATTTGGGCCATGATGTATATAAAATATATTTTCTTTAATCACCTTGCTTGATTTTTAATTTGAGGGGAAAAAAAGTAAGCCATAAAAAATCATAAGGATAGGATGCTGGGGCCTTGAATCATAATAAAATGTATCAAGTGCATGCTTATTAGTAAGTTACAATATTCAAGGAATGAATAAACCAGTAAAAGGAAAGCGTTTATTGTTGGTTTTGTTTTTTAAAGAGCTGTAGGATCTTTAGGTGATTATACTACTACTACTACTACTACTACTACTACTTTGTAGAAATCTTGATTCTCGTATATATAGGGATCTACCCTATTTGCGATTTTCATGTTTTTCACAGAAAATTAAAAAAAATGATTTCTGCGAACCTCGTGAAAATGGCGATTGGTATGATTTGGGAACAGAATTGTTAGGAAAAAGCTTACTAAAAATAAAACACTGGCTAATGGGAGTCAGCAGTCCTCAGGGCCACTGCAGCCCAGCCTTGCGGCCCACTAGCATGAAAGGGGCAGCAAAGATGGCGGCTTTCCCCCGTCCCTCACTGCTAATTGGCCAAGAGGACCGCCCATTGTCCGCCAGTCAGCGGCAAGGAAAATATATACAGATGCAAAAGTGCTTCTTCCATCATCTTTATCACTTAAGTAGTGGGACAGCTGGAATCGGTTCTTTCTTGACCTGGTGTTTGTTGAATAAGTAGGATTATGCATCTCACTATGTTCATGTAAACCAGGGGCAGGCGATTATTTCAGGCGGAGGGCCGCTTGATGAGTTTTAGTGATCTGTTGAGGGTGGCATACGTAGCCCTGCCCCTTCACAGTTGCCCTGTCCCCTGGTTGCCATCTTGGGACCAAAAGTCCCGCCCCTTAACCCCTGACCTTTGCCACTGGAAGTCCCTCCCCTTGCCCCTGGAAGTACTCCTTTTGGAGAGGTGGCCTTGAAACTGAAAGTTATACCCTGTCATATGGTCTGTGTCATAAGACCCACCCACCCAACAGGAAACTGCCCTGCTCGCCATATCTGTCCCAGAATCCCCTACCCTCATTACATGATCCCTGACATCAGAATGTGTACCCCTTGACTGCCCATGCCCCAATGGCAAGTAGTTCCTGACTACAAGGCCCAGACCTACATAGCACAGCAAGGAGCCAGCCCTGCCTGTCCTGTTTTGGCTGCAGCAGGCAGTTGCCAGCTGCAAGCCTGGACCTACATGTGGGGCAAGGAGCCAGCTAGGGCCAGCCTGGCAGCACCTGATTCCCAGCTACAAGGTCAGGACCTCATGGCCAGACCTATCCCCTCTCAGCAAGGGTTCCTAGCTGCAAGGCAGGAGCTGGCACCCCACAGTACTGCATAAATCAGCTCAACCTGCCCTTCCAGACAGAACCTGGCTCAGCCCCTCCTTACCTTCAGGACAGAAGAACGTAGCCCAGTTTTCCTTCCCCTGACCAGTACTGGTCACCAGACCCCTTCCACAAGCAATGACCCAGCCTACCCCATCACACCCCAGTCATGACAAGCTGGCCAAACCCCCGACCCATCGCTGGTTCCAGCATGACCTGGTCCTGACCCATCCCAGTCCACCCCCTGTGGCACAGCAGAAGCCAGCCCAGGCCCTGGTCCCCTCACCAGCACAGCCCCCTCCAGTGCTGTAGGACCCCTCTCGTCCCTAGCTGCAAGGGGCTCAGCTGCAGCTTTCCCTCCCCGGTGCAGCCCAGCCGGCCCATCCTGTCCCATATCAAGTGGC